CGAAGCCGCGATCCTTCGGCGGCGTCGCCTACTTCGGGCTCAGTGAGCCGATGTGTGAGCGCCGCGACGCCCAGAGCAGCTTCAACGTCAAGCGTCGCCGACGTGGGTTTGACGAGAAACTACGTTTTCTTTCTCGTCCTTGTCATCGTCGTTGTTTTCGTCATTTTCGTCGTTGCCTTCTTGTTCGTCTTTTTCGATCGGCCATCGTGGTGGCGCACGCGGCTACGCGTTGCCAATCGGTTTGGTGCACGACGAAAAGGGAACAGAGAAAGACAGAGACGCGTACAACCCTCTTCCCTCCCTCTTCCTCTTCAGTGTCTCTCTTTTTCCCTCCCTCGATATCCACCACCCGAAACTATCTCTGTCTTTCTCTTTCCCGGTACTCGCCCGACACCGTCGTCTCACTATCGCTGCTGTCCTTTGCACCCGTGGTTCACGTGTTCCGCGAATGCGTGGTGAAACGCATCTCCTCTCTGTGTCCTCGACCGATCTCTTGTTATTCGAGGGTGGCATGGCCAGGGAAAGGAAAGGGAATGACCGCGGCCGTGGACGCGATTGGCGATGAACCAACAGGAAGAAAAATGACATAACGCAAGGGGTTACACGCATACGTATCGTGTGTTGACGTTGACGGCTTCTTGGTCTCGCGATTCGGTTCGCTCCGTGGATGTTTCGATGACGTAAGAAAAAATAATCATAATCACTGGCTCTTTCACTCCTTCGTTCGAACGTGTCACTTTTCCTTTTCTTTTTTTGTTTTTCTAGTTTTGATTTGTTTATTCTGACAACAGTGGAGGGAAAAATGGGGAATGCCAGGGAAGAATGGAAGAGGGGAGACGATATGCTACGAGTGAATACGCGAATGAACGAAGGGTGAAGAAGGGGAGGGGGTAGAACGGTATGAAGATAGCCATACTTCTTTGTGAGGGTTCTATTCGAATTATGAGGAATTATGACTTATTAATTACGTAAACGGAAAGCGTGATCAATACATTTGGTAGAATTTTTAGTAAACGGGTTACAGGGCAGTTGAGAAGCATTCGGTGAATTACATTCTAAGAGCTAAAGCGATTTTATATTTGAAATATATCACTTTTTATTCTTCTTTCACTTGCATTGTGCTTTAGAGCACGTTTAGCTCGATATGTAAGGATTTGACTCCGGTTTGACCTGTTGATTCCACAGAAAACACTTGTTCGTTATGCGAGGCACGCATGTTTAGTAATTTACCTGATGCTATCAATCGGTACATGCATGTTGTAGTTATCATATGACACTGAATTAAAGGTGTATACTGCTACTGATTACTGATAAATTATCGATAAGTTATCGATATTTTTGGATATGAATATTACTAAAATATCGCTAAGTAATGAAAGTAACTGAGATATTTTACCATTCAATTTTCGTTTTAACTTTAAATCCTACTTAACCTATTTATCTTGGTTTAAATTTTAAATCGAAGTCTAACTTAAATCTATTTACTTTCCTTTAAACTTTAAACTTAACCTAACTTAATCTGAGGAATAATTTTATCACTGAAACCGATTTATTCGTTTTTAAACTTCAAGTTTCATATAACCTAATCTCAAACAAAAATAAACGATAAAATTATGTAGGTTAGGTCAAGATAAAAGCTTAAATTAGATTGCGTATCGTATTTTATTTCAGTTATTCTCATTCCTTTCAACGATATTTTAATGATATTGTCGATGTATCAAATTATCGATATTTATCGATATTAGCACCTCTGTTTTAAATTAAACCGCTCATTAGATTCAAAACTTGTACATAGACACAGATAGAATATTGAATGAAATATTTTAAATTATAGTAAAAGTTTATAAATAATATTTGCTAGCATTTTTTTAACTTTGATAGAAAAAAGATAATTCATATAGTCATTGAGTATCCTGAAGTATGTAGGTTTTTAAAACGTAAAATTTCATTTTGTTATTTTAGTTTGAAATTACAAGTGAAGTTAATTTTATGCATGTGTAGTGCTTTCTAAGGAATTCAAGGCCACTAAGAAGCAGAAGTTATTTAAAGATCAGAATCAAAAGGACTATTGTTTTAGGCTCGATTTAGAAGATACCTTCACACCTTCAGCCTTTAAGTAAAATTATACTAATGTTTTTCTTTTGATGCATTCAAAATATTTTTCTAAAAAGAAGATAAAGTATAACAAAATAAGAATATCTTCCATCTTTTCTAATTTCAAATATATTATACCTACTATATTTTCCATAAGTATATAACAAATAACATCAATTATAATATAGATTCATTGCTGCTACTAAAAGTGGAATTTTCTTGTTGAAACGTAGTACACTGGAACAACAATATTTTTCAACGTATTAAATTCTATTAAATAATTTTTTCTGTTTTTAACATTTGTTACATTTAATTACAAAAATAAAATCACTACTGCATTTCTTACGAACAAGCTGTGTATTTTGTTATATTCAAAAGAAGTCACGTATCTTACCTTAATTATCTTCATTCTTTGCCGAGATATAAAGAAAGGTTATTCATAAAAGTTAAATCGTATCGAGGAGGTCATAATGGAACAGTAAAAATACTTTTATAGGTGGAATAATGTAGAGATTTCATTCTAAAATATTTTCATATTCAAATTTTGTAATAAATATTTTACTGTCTTGAATTATCTTTTAACACTGTCATATCTTTTGCGTAGAATATTTTAAATGTAGACTTGACGTAAAAGTACCGTTATCGATTATCGATATTATTGACACTCAACGATATATCGATAATATCGTTAAGATATCGTTACGTTTAATGGAAGTAATCGAAGCAGAATGTATCGTATAATTTTATCATTTAAATTTATATATTCTTGTCTGAATTTCGAAGCCAATATTACCTAACCTAAATTACCCTTCTGTTTGAAATTTCAACGAGAATAAATAAATTAGAATCATAAATTACATGTTACATTTTACCTCCGCCACTTCAATTAACCTTAACGATATTATCGCTACATCGTTCAATATCGATGTGTTATCGATAGTACAAATAAGAATATATCAATGAATTCCGACGATGAAATTACACGTTACACTCTACTTCTACCTTTCGACATTATCGGTATATCAAATTACCCATAACGTTTCGATTGAGAACTTTTTGATTTTATCGATTGTATCGAATCATTGATAATATTTCGATATTATCAGTGTATCGAATTATCGATATTGTTTATGTATCTAATTAACGTTAACTGTTCGATACTATCGAATTATTTGTTACATTACTGATAAATCGAATTATCGATAACTATCGATTATCATTATGGCGCGAGTCTCTCGACACCATGTGACTTTTGTTAATAAACTTCACTAATATCGTTATAAGTAATCATAGGATAAATAATTCACTTAAATAAAACCTCCAATTTATATCAATAAATTTAAATACTTGTTTTACACGGAAATTAAAAATACTTGTTTATTTGCTGCATCAGGTGCAAAAGTTTGTAATTACGATAGTTTGCACGTGGGAGTGAAGATGTACGGTAAAGAAAGCAAATCTGTTCAGTTAAATCCATTACTCATTTTTGATAGTAATTTAAGTGCTTATGCCAGTGAACTAGTTTGAACATACATCCTTTGTGGCAGAAACATTAACGTGAATATAGGAACATACGCTTCTGTGTGAACTGTACGTGTTGACATATGAACATGAGAAATATGCATATAAACAATGACAGTTTAATCAAAAAGATTAGTGCATAGAAGAGAATTTATTGCTGGGTGTAACTACAAGGTGAGTACTATATGTGGATGATAAATGTTATTTGTTTGTTCGTTGTCAGTAAATTAGTCATACTTTTCACTCTATTTAGCTTGTACAATCTCCACACGTATCATCGAAAAGTTTGCAAATTTTTATAAACAAGCTTATTATATAACTAAACAGTTTTATCAAAAGATTAGTTTATAAAATGTATAAATAGTATTATTAAGTGTATGTATGCTTTTAATTCAGTATTTAAAAAAAAGTATTTTAAATTCGGAGAAATTCCCGCCCTTTTTAAAACCTTTGTAAGGTTATTTATTTGATCACGTTTATTAAGACCTTTCTTTTATATTCACGAGTATACGCTTAATGCAAATATAGCTCAAATAGCGAATTGCACATTTTTAAATTAATAAAAACAATATATATTATTTTCAGTAGCTCGCTAAGTTCACGGAAACCTTAAACCGGTGGGATTTTATTATACCCGATCCCACATGTTCAGATATAATATTTCTGATCGTCTCATGTCTCGTCTGTCCAGTTTCTTTATCTTTTTTTTTTTCATCGACCCGTATTCAAACGTCAAGCCACGATATAAAGCACTATAGACATTTAACTCCACCGAAATGGTGTAAGCGTATCCTCTGGAATCTTTAAACTCTTTTACAGCCATAAGCGGTACATGCGAAAACTGCCCCGACTAATTTGATATTTCATACTTCACTGAATAAATTATACCGAAGAACTTTCTAGTGCAAAGTATCCTTTTCAAACATATATTATATGAAGTGTAACGAAATATTTAATAATAAATAACGTGAACTTTTGTAGAGAGACTCCGTAAAATATACGAGGAAAATTATTTATGTATACAGAACGATCCGTGGCAGTCTTCGTATAGGTACAGGCTCGCTGCCAAACAAAGGGTTAACTTCACATCGCTTTCACCGTCACGTTCTGAATACTACATTCGCTGTGTTCCATTTTTGCGTTCAATTTCTTAGCGTATTTAATAAAATTAATAACGTACTTACAACTTTTGAAAATCTCCGCCATATAGGTTTCCTCGCACGTGGCTTATTGACGAGTGGTCTAACCTCAAACACACACTTTACACAGTCACACTACAAGTAACCACAATCGTTTTCTTCATCTTACGATAGCTTTTCTCCTCGAACTACCTACAATTCAACTATCTTGTTTCCATATCGTATTACTTTATGTATGATTCACTATTGACTTTTATCAAGATATGCAAATTATATACCTTTATGACACTTCTTTATATGAAAATAAAATATGCTACATTATGGTTATGCAAATAATGATAAATGAGAAATTTTTCTTTTTAAGTAACAGTGTGGATTTTGATACTTCGGCACGATCGAAATCGATGCACTTTGATCGGTAGAACGCATCGACGAATTTACTGATGTGTTTTGAAAGGAGGTTAGGTCCCGTTGAGAGTTGAACTTTGTTATCCAGCGTGATCCAATGACGAAAGTCATGGTTCGTGAGTGGATATCGCGATGTAGAACTAGGTTTGCACAGAACACAAAGGAATCGTGATGAATTGACTTGCACGTATAAAATACGTTCAATATTTATCCCGTCTCATCTTACACTGCTTTAGTAATTGACTCATACTCGATGCGTAGCATGAGTTGTCCGCAGCCACTAATGCCAAGGACCAACGTAAGAGCACGCTTTGCGTTTTCATCGCGATCAACGCTTAAATCATATACAGAGTGTCTCGTAGCTTCCAAACTGTCATCGAAAAATATTTCACGGAAAAGTCGGATTATGCGGTAAAAATTTTAGAGAAAATTAATTTATATGAAATCGAATGCAACTGTCAAAAGTTACTTTATAAAATTTAGACGCGAATATTAAGTGAAACTTTGTGGGCGTGACTCCGCGCTGGAGAATTATGGGAAACCGTTGAAGTGGCGCGTATTAAGCATTTTTTTTAAAGCATAGATATCATGTTATCAAATTTAAAAATTCGCAAATTTCTACAAGATATTTTCTACAGGATATTATAGGATATTAAGATATTTATAGGATATTAAGTATAATACATACGCTTCTTATTGGTGTCGTAGGTAGAAATTTGCTATTTAGTAACGAAAGAAAGCCAGGGCAGGAAACACTATACCTGCTGGATGTCCTGTCGTGGCCGGAAGTCCCACGCGTTAGAATGCCTCTTGAAACAGATAGGAAAGGTCTGTATCCTGAATGGGACATGTTAATGATCATTGATACATCCTGTTCGAGTATGTTTTCTTCCGTTGTGGAATAGCTAAATTAATAGATTAGTAAAATCAGGGTTCTAAAAATGGTCAGGTTATAAAAAACAAGGGGAGAGTAATAATAGGGTCAGTCTAAAAATATATGACACTCTCATGAATATTAACAATTTTTTTTTTTAACTGATTTGTTGTAGCGTACAGGTAAATAATAAAAATTGATCAAGTCGCAATGATTAATAAAATAAAATATTGTCACTGTTAATCTTGTATTGGCTCAATTTCTTTTTGGCAAGATCTTACTTTATCTGAAAGTTTCGAGTTGAGAAATATCAAGCTCTTTCAGCAATGTTTTTGACCGTTCGGGTCGGGTCGGAGGGTAATAAAATAATAAATAGTACCGTTTCTCCAGTACAGCTGCTTCACGTGCTTGCATCAATTCAGTTGAATGAAAGTTTTAGAACAGTAAGTTTTAATATACATATTGTGAATAAAGTTTTGAACTGTACATCACGATTTATGTGTCGGTATTGATTTGGCTGCATCTTACTTTTCTGCCTGCTGTAAGGGGCCGATTACGTTGCTAACAGGTCACTTCCAACGAATACGTTGATGCAGCATACGTTCTTTGTATCACTTTTAGCTTTGTATGGATTTTTTACAATTCTCAAGGATTTGTTGGTATAAATGAAAATTGATTAATAATTGTTTTTTAAGAAGTTAGGAGATTTGACTTCGTATTTGGAGAAATATTTGTTTAAATATTTTTTGAGTGATTTGAACGAATTTATACATTTTTTTAAACAAATCAAGTTTCATATATGTAGAACACTATAGATGTACATGGAAGTATATTATATTTGGTTTTTTGCAGATAGTTGCAGATAACAAACTAACAAAGTATTTGGTTTTTTTGCAGATAACAAACTAACTAATAAATTATTAAATTTATCATGAGGGTGTTACAAATCAATATTTATTTAACCAAGAATGAAGACAAATTCAAAAAGGTGGTAAATTCACCCTGTTTTCTTTTTATAATTGTTAAAAATATATTTATTGAGAATCTCAATAATTGTTCAAACGTATTACATATTTTTGTTAAATAATGCATACTAACTTTACTAAATTATTTTTAAACACCATTTGATATTTTATACACTTTTTGAAGCTGTTGATAGATAGTAAATACTTGAAGGGAACTTCTTAGAATTTGTGCTGGTTCTATGCTTGTTAGAACTGCTATTTCTGTAAGGTTAGTTTATCTTATATTTCTAAAATGTAACCGTTGGACACAAACCAGATGCGTCGGAAGGTCCTAGATGTAAAGGACGAAAACAAATAGTATAACTAACTGTCGTCTTCTGTTTACAAGCCCTAAAAAATATGATTGCAATAATTTCTAATACTATTCATTGTTAGTAGTGAACAAGATGTATAACAATTTAATAAAAATAGTAAAAATATATAACAGTTTGTTTGTTTCAAAATTTGTAAATTTATACACAATGCATTCATAATTGTCTTTCTTTAAAATACAATTTCTAGTATTTTTTTTAAATATAAAAATTTAAGTAGTACAAAAATTGACGTATATTCAGCAACTATAAAAATTTAAATACTAAAGCAAATTTTTAATAAATAAAGATAGAAAATAGATCGTGTTTCTACTAGAAAATAAATGAATTTCCTGATTAAATAATAACGTAGAAATTGTTTCTAAAATTTTGTACCATTTAACTTTCATGTAAACAATATTTTAAACAATACTGTCGGTTAACAAAGTCTTATTGATTTTGTACTTTCTCACAGTGTAACATCCAAAAATGGTAACATAACAATATTGTACATGATTTCCCAAAATTGGCAAAGTTTTAAGACTTTTTGCGAAGTGACGACATTGTTGGCACCGAACAGAATCCACAATGCTGCGGGGGGATTTTACTTATGATCCATTCCTTAATGAAACAGTTGAAAAAATTAATTGATCAAACGAATTTATGATCATGTATTCAGACATGAGTTATTACACCGATGTTTCTAACAATAATGAAAGTTTCAATGGTTTTCTATGGCACCTTGCCCATAATCATTTACATTTCCACATTAAAACGCACTTGCTATTTAGCACTAAAAGGATTTAATGATCTTTTATTCGGTGCTGAATTTCATTCACTTTCATTCGGTATTGAAAATATTTATAACAATTATTGGTACAAATATTGACTTGTTAATAATGATATTTACTACTTGATAATGAAATTGATTAATATATTTTAACTCTAACCTTAACTAACCTAACCAAACCTGCTGTTAAAACCTTGAGAATATCAATTGTTAAATGTAAATAAATTATATTAACTGTGCAAGCATATTAAAATTCATTGAAATTTGGTGCAGTCTCTTTTTTGTGAATATTTACCAATTTATGTTACGTTTATGTACATGTTTATGTTTATGTTTGTTTATAAAACGAATAAAAATCTTCAAATTCAATAATAGTGTTACCATAACCTCCAAAGTACAAGCACAAGTAACAAATGAGTTACATTAAACAACATTTTGTTTCAAAAAGCTGATGTAAACTATTGCAAGTTTTTAGGTTATGTTCCTCAATAATTGTTATCAAATTGTTTAAAAATAATGCATTTATAAAACCATGTAAAGTATGTAAAAAATTCTATAAAACTTACAAAATCTATAAAAGTTAAAAACACATAAAGACAAATTGTTTTTCCCCTAATTTAAAAACTTCTCTATTATAAAATTCTATAG